GATATCTCCAAATCGAAACATTTGAACATATGCTCCAAAGCAGAGATCTCATGCTCAATATCGATATGTTTTTCGTCGTCGCTTTGAGTGAACATTTCTTTAAAACTATGAATCCTATCGAGTCCAACTCGAACACGAAGTCCCATTTCTTTCATTCTTGCATTTTCCCCACTTCTTTTCTCTTGATATTCTTTGATCTTATGTTTCAACGATCGGTACGCATCGAGAGACTTGAGAAGTTGTTCGGTCAACACTTTGTTTCTCTTTTGGAGGGCTTCCATGTTGGCTTGAGCATCAGGTACATTGTTTTTCTTCACTCTATGCTCTGCAACACAAGCTTGAACTTTGCACATCAACATTTCATTTTGTGCTTTGAGATCATTGACATGTTCTTCCATTCCGTTCAATTGTTGAACCGTCCTCGCTAGCTCCTTCGCAATGATCTCCTTCTCCTTTCCGATGCTCGAACATATGCTTTCGAGGCTTTTCCTTGCAGCCATGCTTGCATTCAGCTCTCTCCTCAATCTCTCCTTCTCATCCATCACCGGTTCGTTACTCCGTTTGTCCCTCGGAACATTTCGCCTAAGATCGGTGTTGCACCGTCTAAGCTCAGCTGCCCTTTTCTTACCAAGAAATTGAGATTTTTGGATTTGGGCTTTCACATCATCAATTATAAGCATCATTTCAGATATCCTTTGATCTCTACTTCCATTATTGCCTTTCACCGAAGCATCTTTGTACTCATGGATTAGTTTTAATAAAAGCCTAACATTGGTAGATACTCCTAAACAATCAAAAAAACATCGATCAAAACACATACCAAAACACGTAAATTGTGAAATGTTCAAAACACGACATACCGACAAAGTTTTGATCGACGTGATTTTGTCGTGGACTGGTCAGTGCATTGGCTAATTCAGAGAACGATAACGCTCGAACACGGGTCACGTCAAGGGATTCCATGAGGAGATAGATGGCTGTAAAAACAGATCAAAAAGAGAAGAAAGGGAAGAACAAGGATGAAAACTACTGCAAAAACTATGGTAAAAAAAAAATTACTTGAAGAAAAAGAGAGACTGGTTTTTGTTCAATCTCTCCTTTCCCTCTTCTTTGTTTGCAAAACTGTTTTTTTTTCGTACGTTTTGTTAGTGCAAACATGTCTGAAAATGGTCGGTTTTGGCTGTGTTGTGCGCAATTATTGGCCATCCATTGACTTTTTCATAGGTATTGAGAAGTTCTTATATTTCTTTAACCAATTTGGATTTTTTATTTTAATTTTAAATAAGGGATTTTAATCCTTAATTGTTTATTTTTGTCCATAATAATTGTTTAAATTGCTGAATAAGGTGTCTCTATGTAGTTAAAATTGTTAAATATGAATGGACGGGGTAAGTTTTAATACAATAATAAAACAAAAATATTGAGAGACACGTTAATTAAAGATTAAAATGTAAATAATTAGCTGAAATAGAAGAGTACATAAGTCTCGAGTATTTTAAGAAATAATTAGTAGAGTTGCTCTACTATTGAGGTCAGAGAATGTAAACACATGTAACATAGATGTCTTTGACTTTAGCTGAAATAGAAGAGTAGCACAAGACTTGAGTATTTTAAGAAATAATCGGTGACTGACTCTACTATTGAAGTCAGAGAATGCAAACACATGCAGATGTCTTTGACTTTAGCTGGAATAGAAGAGTAGCACAAGACTTGAGTATTTTAAGAAATAATCAGTCAATGACTCTACTATTAAAGTAACGCAAACACATGCAACATGGATGGAACCTATCATTTAAAAATATATTCTCTTAGGCGGCTTTCCAATCCAGATAATTGAATGTATATTTACTACTATATACACGGGTCACACGTGTGAATATGGACACACCAGGCGGTTCGCACATCCCCTGGGCTTCCTGTTGGTCGAGCTATCGTCTTTGGTGCTATTGTCGGACACTGAGAAAAAATTGCGATCGTCGTAATATTATGATAAACATGATGATCATTTTTCTTTTCATAACGTACGTGTCCGTACTCATCGTAAGGAAAAGTATACTGATGCACGTGAGCATACATTTATGCATGAGGTCCAAACAATTTTCATTGTAAACAAATTAGGCAAGACAACCCTTTTTTCAATTTCATTTCATTTCATTCGTAGCATAACCTTTAAAATATGTCTAAGGGGTTATACTCCTTATCTCAAAACATTTCTATCGCGTGTCATACATGTCATGACCCAACGTAATTATGTCACAATATATCATGACATTTCATAGCATATCATAATGAATCACGTCATAATATGATATCCATTTGTATTCAAATGTTACAGGACATATCTAAGCATATCATATGACAAACCATATCATTCATTACAACATATCATATCATTGAAACATATGATATCATAAAACATAACAAACATATCAATATTTGACACATGCAGGACCACTGGACACGTGTCATCATCCATAAAACAACTCTTCCAACCATACCGATAGTAGAGCCACTGGACACGCACGGGTTCTTGATCAATTCAAGTTGAGTCACTCGGGTACGCGCATAACGTCTTCTCCTTCTGTATTTCTACTGTGTAGGCGCTGCAGATGGGAGTGTGAGAACTTTTGATGATTTGTGAGGGGAAGAAGCAAGGTTTTTGTAGCGTTTGTGGGCCGTTGTTTCCACAAAAATTACGACACTGGCCGAAAATCTCGTGTATTCGGCAAGCGGAGTTGCTGTCAAAGAATATGGCTTTCAGGATTGCTTTCTAGCTCACCCAAACATCGTAAATACAAATGCTCGATCATATAAAAAAGAAAAAAATCAAACCTTTATAAGAGTAAAGACTATTCCCACAAATCAACTCACTCACATGCTTCATGACTTAATTATGAAGTTCCTATGATTGAATCACTGAGAAGGGAGATATATCTTATTGGTATACATAGTGACTTTCAATTCTTTTAAACTTTTCTTAACTATTTTTCCTTAAGATCTCTCTCATTTAGACGTGGTTTCGCTTCATTCATATACTCCTTCTTTACTCAGGTGACACCATGTTGATCACTCAAATTTGCAAATCACATTTATACTCACTTGAATGGGTGATTTCAATAAAGTTAGTGTAAAATCTCATATGGGTTGGGGAGGAGCACGAAACATTCATTATAAAGGTGTGAAAAACTCTCCCTAGTTGTATTTTAAAAACGTCGAGGATAAACCCGAAAAGAAAAGCCTAAAGATGACAATATCTACTAGCATGAATGATCGTTACACTTCTCTCGCACTTTCGTGCGATGATGATTCTTCTCCCGGTGTTCAATGGCATGATCTCAAACCGATAATGTCATTCAAGTTAGCACGAACTCCAAGCAATGGTGCCCAACCTAGTTTGTGATTGAAAGGTTAAAACTATTAATATAAACACGAACAACACCGAATGAAAATAAGTGCAATAGTTCTTCATTACATAATGGAAATAACAGGAAATAAAATTCTTTGTACTAAACTTCTCGATTAAAGATACTTGTGGAATGGTCTAAAACGATCTAGCTAAGCCAATTAAAGCTAAACTGAGCTAAAAAAGTCAATGAAACATTTTTTTTCTACCATAATATTTTCACTCTAAAATAACTAGCAAGACTCATTTTGAGTTGTGAATCATAAGGGAGTTTATTTGATCAAGAGTCGGGGCATAAACGTCCTGATACTCCAAGTGTGAAGAACCACGGGGTGATTGCAATGAGCAAAAATCTCACTCACTAGCCTAAATGTCCAGCAAACACTCGAATGTGAGAGCAAGGGTTCATCTAAGGAATGAACGAGCTCCAAGGAGGGAGGCAAGAACCATGCTTTCAAAGACCTAACTCAACCCCCGGTTTGAATCTTATCTTCTATTAGTATTAGATACTCAATGAGTCCTTTCTTCCGTGATGAATTGTTGGCTCCAATCCTCCATTTTGTCTCTATGGATCAAGGAGAAAGGGAGCTCGACAGAAAGAGGATTGTAACCAAGAGAATTTTCAGATATTACTCAAAAGAATCGACACAATACACCTAGTCGATTAAAAAAGTAAAGACTTACTAAATATTTTTTTATAAAATACATATAATTAAACGAACATTAAATATATATATATATATATATATAATCTATTAAAAATACGAATATAAATAATAATAATAAAAGATGTTGCAAAAATAAATAATTAAAAAAGGACTAATTTTTGTAATATTTTATTGATATAAATAAATAAAAAATATAGGTATTGGCGTTGACATGGTTGGTATAAAATTGGTAAACGTAAATAATTAACACCAGCTTTCTAATTTGAGTCATAAAAAGAAGGGTGTCAGTGCGAAAATAGAGGCCTTCCAGAAAGCGTCTAGGATGACGGGTACGTGATGGTAGCTCCGTAACTCACCAATCACAAACAAACACGTGGTAATCAGTAACACTAATTTCCAACCGTACATCCCCTACCTGTCACTTTACCAGGATTATTTTCAAATTAATTAATGTTTTTCTTTATTTATTTTCGCAGAAATCCATACTTATAGGCCGCGTAATACTCTCTCTAGGCACAAGTTACGGTGCATGCCTACCTCACGTGACCCACCCCCCATCAATTTCTCCATTTTCTATAAATAAATAAATAAAAACTTTTATTCTTTTTCAAACCAGAATTTCAAGATAGTCCGATAGTGACTAGAACAACTTCAATTGTAACTGTCCAAATTCACTGTTAGCTGATATTGTCTGCTTTGGGCTTTACCTTTTGGGCTTCCTCTCAAGACTTTAAGACCAACGTTAGACATCACACAGGAGAAGGTTTAAGGTTTTCACACCCTTATGAAGGTGTTTTGTTCTCCTTCCCAACCAATGTGGGACATCACAATCCATCTCCTTCAGGGTCTAACGTCTTCGCTGACACTCATTCATTTCTCCAATCGATGCAGAACCCCCACCAAATCTTCAGGGCTCAGCATCCTTACTAGCACACCGCCTCGTGTCTACCCTCCCTTCGGGGAATAGCGAAAAGGCTAACAAATCATCTATTGTCTAGCTCTGATACCATTTGTAACGGCTTAGATCTACTGCTAGCAGATATTATCTTTTTGGGTTTTCCCCCAACTTCCCCTCGAGGCTTTAAGCATGTCTGCAAGGGAGGTTTAAGGTTTTCACACCCTTATAAAATGGTGTTTTGTTCTACTCCCGAACCAACGTGGACATCATACAATTTAAAAAAGAAAATGAAATAATTAGGGTCAAAGGGAGGGGGAGTATGGTATAGGTCTGCGACGCCGTTTTTGCATTGAAGAAGAAACCGACTCATTGGGAGTGGAGCGACCCGACTCAACGGCTAAAATTCTGACGCCAATCTGTGTTTTGTCGTTGAAAATTAACTGTATTCAAAATAATAAATAAATAAATATATATATGTTTTTTTTACCTTTTTACAGTTCTACCGAGTAGGTATTTGTTGAGGTAAAAAGACATAATGCTGTCTGGTTGACTTACAGTTTTACCACGTTGTAATTATTGCGTCTTTTGTCTCATTGTTTTTTCTTAATTACTCTATCTAATCTTAGGATTAAAGGTTAATTTATTTTGATCTGTCATTTTTCTCAACAAATAATAATAATTCACAAATTTACAAACCCAACAAACAAAATAAATGATTTTGTATATACTTCTCGTGTTGAAGACAGTAGGTGTAACGGTCCAAGCCCACCTCTAGTAGATATTGTCATCTTTGGACTTTCCCTCAAGACTTTAAAACGTTTGCTAGGGAAAAGTTTCCACGCCCTTATAAAGGTGTTTCGTTCTCCTCCCCAACCAAGGTGGGACTCTCACAATCCACCTCCCTTCGGGTTCTAACGTCTTCAATGACACTCATTCATTTCTCCAATCACCCCCTTTTGGGTGTCTATCCTTCTTTAAGGAACAGCCTAAAGAAAACAATATCTATTAACAGTGGGTAATTTTATATTAAATAATAAATGGTTCAATTATGAGTATATAAATAAGAGATATTATCTCTATTGTTATGAGTAATTGTGGAAAACCCGAGAGTAAAGTTATGAAATTATGTGCTCAAAATAAACAATATCATATTGTTGTGGAGGTTCGTTGTTCTTGTCATCTCGATCATTTATAAATTTAGTATTTCATATTTACCGTCAACAAAAGTATAGCTCTTCAAATCATCGAGATAGTATCTAAATTATTGCTATGTTATATAAAATATATGAGAATTTTAATTTATTTATATATATATTAAAATAAAATAAAATGATGAGCTGACTAAAGTTAGAGTTGTTCATGTTACGTTGAACACCAAAGTCAACTCTAATGTCTTGATAGAATCTTCCCTTTTCTTTTTTCTCTTTATTATTCAATTTTTAAATCATGTTTCTCCCTTTATTTCCCTCTCCACTTTATTTTCTTTATTTTACTTTTAAAAAAAATTAAACGTAGTTCTCACTTTATATATATATATATATATTCTTTGATCTTGTCTGTTTTAGTCCGTTACGTATAATCATCAGCTTAACCGTTTTAAAAAGCATCTATTAGGGAGAGGTTTCCACGCCTTTATACGAAATTATTTATTCTCATCTCAGACCGATGTAGTTTCGTTGGCTTTCTCGCGTCGACTTAATTTCCGACTCTCGCTAGTTCCTTATCCTTTCAAATTTTGAGATGTATTTGGATTGGATCAAAAATTATCCGACATAGTTAAAACTCTCTTAATTTTCCCAAACAATGGTCAAGATCTTACGAAGATATTTCGTTAGAAGAGCACACAAGCAAATCTCTCTAATACCTCGTCGAGACTCCTTCACTCCCTGAGACACTTGGTCCTCAAGCTCATCACTCTAGTAGAGTTTTAGCCGCTCTTTTCAGGTAAAAACTGACGAACACAAAAAAATTATTGATAATAATGATCTGAACTTCAAAATCAATACAAATATAATCATTGAATTTTTTAGTTAAAAAGTATCGCTTCGAACAGATAACACGAATTTCATCTACTAATTTATGTTCGGTTCCGACATGTGATATGGTTCGTTAAGTAGTTCGGGATTAAATGATTAATTGAAAAGATTATGATAAAATAGAGTCGACGTGGCAACAGCCTATTGGTGGGTTGGTAAGTGTTTTAGAACAAGAAGGGGGGACAGTGCTTTAAAGAGGGCTGTTTGTGCTGCCTGTTGGCAGGTGATCACAAGGACACTCCATGTGTTGTCAAAACGATACCGTTTTGATTCTTCTCATCAAAATACACGTCGTGTTTTCCACGCGCTAAACTGTACCCTTTTCCACCCAGCGCGTGGCTCCTAAACTCCTTCCTAGCGTGTGGGTAACTTTTACAATCTCGACGCATGCAAAATTATTTTTTTTATTTTTTTAAAAATTATAATTACATGGTATGTTTGTTATATAATTGTTGTAATGATTTAATTTTAATTTTTATTTTTATTTTAAATTGTTGAAAAATTAAAAGAAACAAAGGGATTGATGGGAGAATCTTAGCCGTTGATGCTTTGGTTTTGTCCCACTTATTCCCCACATGATTCTATTATCTCACATGATGAATATCTTCTATGTCTAAGCATTGCTATTTGTGAGACCTTTTATCTTTATAATTTGTTGTTTTTTCGGAGCAATAATCTAAATCGAAAATTTTAATATATAGCAGAAGTGTTTCTATGACTCGATAACTCGACTAACTCGAACTACCTAACTCAAATCATAAACATTGGATTTTGTTAGATTTTTTTATTCGGTTTGGGTTGGATTGAATTTTTGTAACATCGAAAATTAGGTTTGTTCGTAAGTTAGACATTTTTGGTCTAGTCAAACTGACCCACTCGAAAATAGCGTTGCAATTCAAACTTATTCTACTTTAAAAATTATTATGAAAATCAATAATATTTGATATTTATAATCCATATGACTGATAAATATTTGATATTTTAATTTTATGAATTTTTAGTTATTAATATAAAAAAAATTAAAATATATATTTTTTTTTAAATAAGAACCATCCAACAACCCAACAAAATTGGGTTGAGAAAATATCTACCACTCAAATGTGAATAGATCTGAAAATATTATTACTCAAACAAACAAACAGAGTTAAAAATAAGAAATAGAATTGATATCAAGAGTGGAATAAAGCGTTTAGATACAAGCTATCAACTAATATTTAAAAATATAATCTAACTAAATCTTGAGAATAAAATAAAATGTAGTACGGATCACAAAAAACAAAAATTAATTGAATATCTAAAATATATTCTATAACTAATATATTCTACAAATATTAATTAATTCAAATTAGGCACTAAATTCTGACATAAGTTAGATTAAATTGAATTGTGAATTCTATTCCGGTTATTAGGGTCACTAACCCAACTAACTCAAAATTTCTGGTTGGTCCACAAGATTTTCCTAACTCAACTCGTGTACACTCCTAATATATGATAATAATGTAATACCTGACCCTTTTAAAAAAAAAAAGAATAGAAATGCAAAAAACGCGTACAGCCACAGTATGGTCTGACAAAAACATTAAACACAGTCCGTGGCTCGAGTTTCTCGAAAAGAGGGTCGTTACAAATATTCATATTATGAATCCGAACATAGTTCAACGACAAAAACACTAATTATCATCTCGAGGTCGATGGTTGAATTTTTCACCCATTTACTTCCAAATTATCAAAATAATGATGGTTTAAAAAACTAATTTATTAGATTAAGAAAGGAAGTTAAAGTCAAATTGATTGTGAAAGGTTGATTTTAAACCACAAACATTAAAAAATGATGTTTTATGATAATTGAAATTAAGGGGAAAAGTATTTTGTTTTTTTTCATTTTGTTTTGGTAACTTTAAATTATTTTATAATGTATAATTAATTAATTAATTAATTATGTTTTATGATAATTGAAAGGACATAATGTAACTTTATCATCAACGAATCTAATTTCTTTTTCTTTTTGACTTATTTCAATTTTAGTTGAAAATTTCGTAGGAATATTCTAAATAAAAACTTTTTGTCACTAAAGATAACGATGCTATTTTTTTTTTTTTAAAGATAAAACTGTTCTAATTAATCAGGAGAGAAAACTTATCTCGAATCATTTTATCTTAAAAAAGTTCATAGAATTAAATACTCGTAAACTTGCAAGTATAGAAAATCGTGGCTGAAATAAGATTTAACGACCTCGAGTTGAAATAGAAAACATTATTATGTTAATGTAATAATGAAAAACATGAGTTGTACGTAGAATAAACTATCTATAGCTTTGTTCTATGGCTTACTTAGTAGACGTCATCATACATGCATTGACTCTTTAGCTTTACCTCGAAAAATGTTGAACACAAGATTAGTCGAAAAAAATGCAGTTTTCTAAGTATGTATCATGCTTAGGTCTCGGGTAGACCCACTAGGTGGAATCATTTAATTTACTCTGTAGGTTTGGCTATAAGCTAGTGCACATTTACGCTGCTAAAAACCAATAGAAAAGAAAGAAACATGAATAATATCGTGGTGTACGTATCTGTACATAACATGCTAAAGAAGTAATCTATGATCATATGACATACAACATGCATGAAGTCCTGCATTAAAAATTAGAGTTCAATGAGATGGTGTGTATAATACTTCCATACTTATCATGATTTAAATTCCTTACGATGACGTGCATACATATTCACGGTACTTCACTCATGCTTATCATATAACAATATATCATGTGTTTCACAATGCATAAGTATGGTCATAATCGAACATAAAAGGAAGTACATGCATTATATATTTTATTCAGATATCATAACATAAATAATAACACGTAAATATAGCCACACAGTACGGTGTTATTCATACTAAGGAAGTAGCTTGTTGGTAGTTCTTAGTCCGTTTTAAGTCTAATGAAATTAGTTTCGTTCGTCATGGTCTAGGTTAATTTGTCCCACCTAAGCTCAACTTAGGGTAATTTAGAAGGTAGTTTAAATTCTTAGTTCCTGGTCCAATTTGGACCTCCTACCCTCGAAATTTCTCGAGTTCGTTAGGGCTTCTGAATTATCGTTTCACTTGTCTCTTTCATCATAATCATCGTAGTTCTAATCCTCTATTGTAGGCCTTCGAACCGCAACCTCAAGTTTAAGTTCTCATAAGGTTCATGCATTCTAAAGTTCAACCAACTCTCAAGGTATTTCTAGGGGACCCTACCACTCATGATAGGTTCACTACGGAGAACTTAACTAACAAACTCCCTATAGTTATCTGAACCTCTGACAATCGAGCTAGATTTACGATTAGGGGCTAGTTGGCGAATCAGTAATCATCCCCGCATAATCGCATAAATATCTCATGCATGAACAAAATTCAATCAACTCTCAAGATATTACTGCCGACCCCAATTATTTGTGACAGGTTTGCTAAGAGAAAATTAACTAGCAATTCCCAAACAATTCTGATAGATTACAATCGTAAATCATAAATCATATGTCAATTCTCTAGTTATCCATACCAAAAAATTGAGTCAAATTTACGATTAGAGGCTAGTGGGTAAACATTTAATCGTCCCCGTATAACCGTATAGAATCATATGTGTGAACAAATCGTGAACAGAGATATAGCATAATGATCTAAAGATAAATAGAAAATCATGTTCATATTTTAGTTTAAAGTTCAATAGGTTCTTTCTTCGAAAATGTGAATCATAGCAAATCAACCTATTTTTTCTTAAATTAAGTTAACTCATTTCAATTCCAAATTTCTTTTTCATTATCATATTTTCATATATACTAAACCGAGCCAAATCTGAAGTTCTGAGGTGTAATTTACTTGGTATAAACAATACTTTATCCGGGTTTTGGGTCCTTAAAAAAACAAACAAAAATAGAGCAAGATCAAAGTTAAAACGAGAAAATCACATAAAATTGGCCAAAATCGATTTGGTTGGACCGGAATAGTTGGTCCAGCCGAACCAGGCCAGACTAATCGTCACTCACCTAGATCAATGCCTCTGCATACGAGTGCTTCTCGATTTGTCTCCCACCTTCGTTAGATTCTCGAGAGTAATTTTAGTAACAAGATTATTAGTGGTTCTCAACTCAACATTAAAAAATTTGTTAATACTTCCTCCATGTAAATAGTCTTATTGCTCTATTTAAGAATTTAAAAGTATATTTCAGTTCAAAGAAACTCTCCTCTCAAATTAATCATCCCCTTATAACAACAAAAACATATCATGCATCGATATATTATCAATGAGGACGCAATAAAAACATATCATGCATCAATACATTATTGATAGGAACATAGTATGGTAATGTAATTGGGGATGCCTAATCATGATTTCAGTTTCATTGAATTTCAAACTCGTTTCAAGATAATCTTAAAAAACGAGCATACTATGATTCAAGATGCTCGTCGTCAATCAATTAGTTCAATTGATATTAAACTTTCACTTAATCTCTTATAACAAACTCCTGAATATACTATAAGCATTTTTTAATTTGAAGTTTTGATGGGTTACTTACCTAGTTTGACCATGATTTTGGTCATCAGTTTGAGTCCTTCATACTCCGATAATGAGTCGTATATGAAGTGAAAATAAGAGTACATTTTGGTCATCAATTTTCAAGTTCAAGCATCATTAACTCCTCCCAAGTCAATAATGCACCAACTTAATTACAACCATATAAAATTATATAATGATCAATAAATCTATTTCTTGTTTTTTTTACTAATTTTGAAAAAATAGTTGATTTAAACGATTTAGATTTAGCAGTCTATCTTATAGAATACTTTTGCAACTGCATTGTATTTGATTTCATTTATTAAAAGTACATTATTAAAAAAAACAAAAAAAAAATCTCAAAAGTCGATTAAAAGAGGTGGAAAATAGGAGCAGATCGAATATATACACGTTTTGATCGTGCCGGTGACAAAATACGGAAGTTAGGTTGCGCCACGAGGCGTTGGAACCGCCGTTGATTATTCAGAAGTAATCGAACCCGGCCGAATCAGCTGCCTTTTCCATGGATTTGGCCACCGGCGTCGCCTTCCGCCGTCGTACGCCGGGGACCTCTGGCGGCGTGAGAGACCGAATGAGGGCGAGGTTAAGGCCTTTGAAGAACGGATGCTTCTTAATGTCGGCAGACCCGCGTTTTGAACCCAATCTCCGGGTCGGGTCCTTGTTGAGCAAACCGGATATTAGATCCCGCGCGTGGTGCTCAAGCGCGCCGGAAGTCTCGGCGGTCGGGAACGTCAACGGCTTCTTTATGATGTTCCTTAGCGTCGTCTCATTGGATGAGGCTGCAAACGGCGTCCGGCCGAAGATCAACTCATAGAGAAATACGCCAAAAGCCCACCAGTCAACAGCGTTGCCGTGTGACCCGCCGGCGGCTACTTCCGGCGAGACATACTCGTGAGTACCGACAAAGGAGCAGGACCGGGCGGAGACGGGCTCGGCAACGAAGAGCCAGTTCGGGGTCAGGGTTTGGACCTTGCGTGACCGGAAAAGCCGGTTGTAAAAGCAGGAAAAAGGGCTGGTAGTAGCGGCGGAGGCGGTGGGTATTGTGTTAGTTTTGGGGTACGCCATCGCATCGGGGAAGGCCGGATTTGGGGAAGAATCCGGCGATTCAACAGCCGGAGTGGCATCCGAGCAGAGAGATAGATCGAAATCCGACAGCATGATGTGACCGTCCGATCGGACAAGGACATTCTCCGGCTTAAGATCTCTGTAGATGATTCCAAGCATGTGAAGGTACTCTAAAGCAACGAGAACTTCAGCAGCATAAAACCTGAAAATTAAGCATAACATTACAGATAAATCACCAAATTACAGGATAAAAAATTCAGGTTTCTCAGTTTTTGGGTATTTTGTTCTATTATATTGTATTGCAGTCCTGAGATTTTGCTTGTACATAAAGCAAGCAACAACATAATACAAAACTAATCTATAGACATATATATATACATATATTCACAGTTCATGTTGCAGTAATTGCTTGCACAAGAACGCAAGTAAAAGTAAAAATCAAGAAGAGAAAACCAGAGGATAATATAATCGAAGCCCACACTCAATGAAAATGGAACTTGTTTTAAATATTAGCAAAAGAATGCGGCAAAGTCAGAAGATATCCGAGCAATTTCGTCTGCAGAGCAGAGTGATTTAATAAATAAAAAAAGGAATAAAGAAATAATAATTTCCATTGAAGGAGACATCACAGAAAGCTAAAGCAGACAAGATTGTAACATCTCAGGTTTCACATCACAAGCAAACAAAAAACATACTGAAAACTGCAAAATTAATTATGTACATGTTGCATATTATCTTTTCAATTTTATACAGAGAGGATGGTTGTTTTCAATCGTTCCAGAAGAGTTACAGCTTTCCAAGAATCTACATGGTATCTCAGTATTTGCAGTGATGAATTTTAGCATATACGATTTTGTTTTTATGGACATGAATTACCTTGCGGAGCTGAGAGAGAAGCGTTTACGCGGCTGTTTATGGCGGAGAGAATGCAAGTCACCGCCGGAACAGAACTCCATGACGATGCAAGAGAAATGAGACGCCTCAAACTCAGCGTAAAGAGTAGGCAAAAACGGATGATCCAGCATCTTCAGTATTTTTCTCTCCATTTCCGCCCTCTGCACCTTCTTCTTCAATTCCAACGCTTCTTTATCCACCACTTTCATCGCGTACAAACACGAATCGTCGTATTCATCGTCATAGCCACCGTCGGTCAATTTCCGCAACTGACATAGATAAACCGTACCAATGTCGCCAGCGCCGATGCGACGGAGAAGCCGAAAATCACGGAAAGTAAGCTTGGATTTCCGGCGACGAATGGCGGAGTAAGCGAAATCAGACGATCGGTGAGGCTTCAAATCGAGACTCTCCGGCGAGAATCGGGAGGTAGGAAAATCAATCGCAGCATCAAACGAGAGACGACTGAAGCTACTACAACTTTCACTGCTCATAGAGTTCTGACTCGAATTCGAATTAACGGCTGCTTCGTAACCTAACTCCGCGTCTGATCCTCGAGCGAGCTCTTCTAACATCTTATATTTAAAAAAATCCCCAAAAAATCACAGGACGTTGAAACAAGGCGGCAAGAATGAACGGAATCTAAAAAAACACTGTGCGCTTAAAAAAATCGGCCGAAAAAATTACAGAATCAAAACAGAAACAATGAATCGAGGTTGTTCTATGGCATTCGAATCAGATACCAGAAGGAAGAAGAGAACAGGATTAGTTTGGTTTGGTCTGGTTTGGTAGCAGAGGAATGGGAGGGTGAGGATGAGGAAGAACAGTTAAGAGTATTTTTTGTCGTGAAGCGGAATCAGAGATTGCAGGCTTTAATTTCGATCGGAGCTGAAAATTAGGGTTTGTGTAGCAGAAGAAAGAGGTCTGTTCTTGTTGCAGAAGAAAGAGAATACGGACGAAGAAGAAGAAGGGAAGTTGTCTCTGCCGCTTTCTTCTTTCTCTCTCTGATTCCCACAGAACCTATTTTTAGAGAGAGAAAATTAAACTAAAATGAGCGATGGAAGCGCGAGAAGTAGCTGTGTTGGTATTTATGCTTAGGTGTACGGACGCTTTGATTCCTAACCCTGGTTAAAACTTCAAATCCCCCTTTTAACCATAGTTTACTTTACCAACATGTTCATCTAATCTATCATATTCCCGCCTTCATCGCATAGACATCTCTACTCATAATCAACAGAGTGCGGAATCACCATCCCGATCTCCACAAAAATAAACGAGAAATTTCGTACATACGGGAATTACATACGAGGTGGGAACGGGAATATCGTTGCCCATTAGATATCTCTAACCTTAATCAAACTATTATGCTCAATTATAATCCGTGGAGTCTCGTCTTAAACGAAGTTGTTAAGAGTGAGAAATAGACATAAATTGGAATCGAAGATGTGTATTAATCATAACTTTTAAATAAATAGGATACAAGCTATCAACTAATTAAATATTAAGAATAAAATAAATCACAGATATAATATCTAAAATATATTCTTTAAATATTATATTTTAACCGAAGTAAATAATTTAGATTAAAGTAGAGAAGGTGAGAGTGAGTGGGAAATCACCTTCCCGATTCCCACAAAAATAAATGAAAATTAAAAATTTTAAAAAATAAATAAAATATATTCTAAAATTTTTAATTTTAAATTAGTAATAATTAATTGATATTTTATTTACCATGGAAAAAGAATGTATATTAAATAAATAGTACAATGGCACTCAATTTGTTATGGTATTTGTTTATGAATTTTTTATGTTTTTTTCTTTTTATTTTATTTATTTTTAAATGGTTAACTAAATTAATAAATAATATACTTTTTCATAATTTTAAATGAAAACTTTTAATAATTTGTTTTAAAATACTCTAAAATAAATTTAATGAAATTAATGCATAATGACTTTTTCTTTATGGTGATATTAAATGGTTATATAGAAATATTTCATTTTTCTAAAATAAATAAATCAATATTTTATTTGTTACGTTTTTAAATTAAGTTACGTATCGTTTAAAAATAGAATTAAGATCGTTTGCTTAATTGATAAGATTCTTTATTCATAATCATTTTTGTGAGATCTCATATCGGTTGAAGGGGGGAATGAAGCATTTCTTACAAATACGTGTTTTAAAACTGTGAGACTGACCACGGTACATAACAAGTCAAAGTTAACAATATCTACTAGCGATGGGTTTGGGTCGTTACGGATTTCATTTGAGAATATCTATTCGCAGTAGGGTTGAAATTTTACGGATTTCATTGATAATTATAAAAATAATAATAATAATAGTAATTATATAAAAGAAAAAAATTGGAAAACAAATGCTGAAATTACAAAAATACCCTCCAATTTAAAGTTTTCTCAACTTCAGTAGAATAATTTGTTTCATTATTTACGATCATCGATTCAACAGGTTCGAGTTCTTAAATGAAATTTAATTAAACGATTGATTTAAGATGGATTAGGGCTGACCCTTTGAACAGTACAGGAAGCATCGAATGCTCTTGTTACAGAATAGGCAGGCTTAAAAAAAGCTACATCGGGAAGCAACTATAAGTCGATATGCCAAACTAAACTCTCCTTAATAGAAGGGTCTCACCCCACTTATCACGCCACGCACGAAGATCTTTCCATTGTCAGAGGGCTCTCTCTTGAACAGACTCTTAAAGGTTAGGTTACTACCTGCTTGCCTCTACGGAAGAGGTTTACTTTGTACCGCCCGGAGGTCATATAAAAACTTACTTAATTAAGAAAGCCTCCTAACCATTATTATGCATGTGACTAAATTAAATTAAAATTATGATTAAAAATAAGTAGGGACATAAGAAACATGCATAAGCTTGTTGTAGGGGCAAAAGTGGAATTAATAAATTTGGATCTCAACACCCTAATTAAGTGTATCCCAACTAAGTAACATGGACAAGAATGGTAGGTGCAAGTGTTTTCATTTTTTTTTTTTTCTTTTTTCTTTTTTAAATTTGATGGCATAAATTTTGTAAAATTAAAAAAATAATTTATTTGGGTTTAGTCCGACACTCAGTAAATGAGAGGTGTTAAACGTAGAATAGATTATATCTGTACTGTTAAGATAATCTATTGTATTATGTTTGTTATCATGAATTAAGGAGAATCTATTGATTCCCTGGTTTGTTACAATATAATCCTCATTATACGCATCTATAAATACATAAGGTCGTGACCCATATAGGTAAATGAGAGGTACTTGAATGAATTGAAACGACATCCAAATGAGAGCAATTTTAAAGATATGATGACTTAAAAAACGTCAAAGAATTAAAAGTTACTAGTTATACCAACAAGATACACCTTCTTTCTCGGTGGCTAGAGATGTTCTTCACGCTTATAGACGAGAAGTAATGTCGGGATTCTTATCTAATAAATGGTTATTTGATAATAATATTCAAATATATTATAAATGACATCAATTTTGACCTAAAATTGAATAATTATGAAATCTCTTTCAATATTATTTATGAAAAATTACGTAGAAAAAATGCTATAAAAAGTCTACGATAGCATTTTTCGTATGCTATTATATTCATTATTTCTTGTTGTGAATAGTGTCACTAATCATGTTTTAAGGCAACTATTTGCTGAATCAACTTAGATCTAAAAATTTATGTGTATTATCAACATAGATGTCTAACTACTTATCAGGCGGGTCCGATGAGACGAAGATTCTTCGTTTGAACGAGAAATATAGGAAAGAATGAGGAGAGATTTCTATCTATTAGATAAATGGGGTCGGGGACAGGAATTATATTCCTCGTCCCTTTCTCCACCCAATTCTTCGACTCACTCCTATCCCCGCCCAATACCTTGATTTTCTACGTCCCTCTCCATTTCAAACAATGAGTTTTTTACATTTGAATTAGTCTTAAATTTAAAAATTAAAATGTGACGCAATAAATATGATATCATGTTTTTATTTAATATTAAATTTTTTAAAAGAAAAAGAAAGGAAAAGTAATATGTTGAGAAAAACCCCTAATTTGTGGACCAAAATATCTTGGAAGAGAGACATAGAATAATACCTTTCCTCTTTCTTCATACATAACCAATGGTTTCTCACCATGCTTAATTTTAAACCATACATTTATTTCGACAAAAAGATTTTGATAAAACCTATTCGAGTGGATGAGATTTAATAGATTTTTAGTGTGATAATCCCATATTTTTTCGAGAGGAGAACGAAACACAAGCATGTGGAAACTTTTATATAGCAGACGCGTTTTAAAGTCATGAGGGGAAGCCCGAAAGAGAAACCCTAAAGAGGACAATATCTGCTTGCAGTGGATCTGGGCCATTACAAATTGTATCAGAGACAAACACTGGACTATGTACCAACGAGGAAGGAGGGTTGTTCCCCGAAGGGGGTAGACACGAGGCAGTGTGCTAGTAAGGATGTTGGCCCCCAATGAGGGTGGATTTGGTAAGGGTCCCACATCGATTGGAGAAAGGAACGAGTGCCAACAAGGAAGGATATTGTTCCCTGAAAGGGGTAGACACGAGGCGGTATGCCAGTAAGACACTAGGCCCCGAAGGGGGTTGGATTTGGTTGGGATCCCACATCGATTGGAGAAAGGAACAAGTGCCAGCGAGGAAAGAGGTTATTCCCCGAGGGAGGTAGACACGAGGCGATATGCCATAAGAACACTGAGCCCCGAAGGGGAGTGGATTTGGTTGGGATCCCACATCGATTGGAGAAAGGAACAAGTGCCAGCGAGGACGTTGGGCCCCAAAGGGGGGCGGATTGTGAGAATGGTTAAATTTGTGCTTCTATGACACTCGAATAAATAAGGAGTACATTAATGAACTAAGACCACATTTGAGAAAGTTATTAGCTATACCAACAAGGTGCATTTTTTTTTCGGTGGCTCAATCATAAAAACTTCATGGTTAAACATGTTTTGTTTGTAGTGACAATCTTTACTCTTAAGAAGCAAGAAGTAGGTAACATGACCATGTCGTATTGGAATTTAGGGTTCATCAGGAGGTTTACTAGGCCACTTTTTTTTTTTTTATTCTTCTTTTTGGAACAATAAGTCAAAACCAAACTTTCACTATTTACCTACATGCCCTTGGCTAACTTAACTCCCTACTATGGTTAACTCATCAAACCTAACCTTATTTGATGGTCTTGTTTGGTTTATATTCATCTAGCAAATGCCCATTCTATACCTTCCATTGAATGGTATGATAAAGAAATATTGTCCAAGACTAACTTTAGGTAATGCCATAAATGTGTTTGATACCAGCGTCGTACTTGATTTTGTAAAGTTACGGTAAATAGCAAGAACGTAAAGTTATAGTCGTGTACTTTGTTTCTAGCAAGGAAGAATAGACGTTTCCTGCATTATGTCTCCTTATCGTCTAAGCCTAATGTAGTATTGTAAGTTAGAGAATTAGGCTATACGTGGCTAATTAGGTCGAGTCTTTTTCGTGGCCCACATTATTGATTGAAAGTTTCTTTAAGTAGATAATAATAATGTCATATGTGGTTAAAAAAAGTCTCTATTGAGTTGAGACGGATGCATGAGAGTTACAAGGCTTTACGTGCATGTTGCTATGTATGTTTGAAGTTGAAGCACATCTCACCGTGCTAATGTTCAAGAACTGTGGTTAGCTTAGTTGTCATGATATGATCGTTAACGTTCTTAGTGGTGGTGGGTTCGTGTTGTGAAGTTGGATAATCTAAACAAATCAATAATATTGTCTTTCAATTATTGTAACGACCCTAGCCCACCATTAGCTGATATTGTCTTCTTTGGATTTTTTCTTTCGAGCTTTCCCTCAAGATTTTTAAAGTGCATCTACTAGGGAGAGGTTTCCACACCCTTATAAAGAATGTTTCGTTCTCCTCCCCAACCGATGCGGGATCTCACAATCCACCCCCTTTGGGGCCAGCATTCTTGTTGTCACACCATCACGTGTCTACCCCTCTTCGGGGCTTAGCCTCCTCACTGGCACGTCGCCCAATGTTTGGCTCTGATACCATTTGTAACAGTCCAAGCCCACCACTAGCAGATATCGGCCTCTTGCTTTCTCTTTCGAGCTTCCCCTCGAGGTTTTTAAAACGTGTATACTAGAGAGAGCTTTCCACACCTTTACAAAGAATGTTTTGTTTTTCTCTCCCAACCGATGCAGATCTCACCATTATATTAATCAAATAGTGAAATTCTACGACTAGCTTGATATAATTTGTCCAATTCAAAAGCCAATAATGCAAAGGTCAATATTTTAATTCTTTTGATCAATTTTTTCAATGGATAGCGTTAGTTTCAAAAACTAGAAAGCAAACAAAATATGATAGGATAATTAAGCACAAACCCAACAAATTGTTACTATTGTTGCCTTTTTTTTATATTTTGGTATGTGTACAATGATACAAAATGACAACAATTATTGGTCATCTAAATCCCATAAAAACATCATTAATACATTCAAAATCTAAATTAACTCCTCAGTATAGACTATATCCACTGTGATATCCCACATTGGTTGGGGAGGGGAACAAAACACCCTGAAGGGCGTGGAAACCTTCCCTTGAAGGGAAGCCTAAAAAGAACAATATCAGCTAGCGGTGGATCAGGGCCGTTACAAATGGTATCAGAGCCAGACACCGGATTATGTGCCAGCCTTCTTGCTGTTCGCCAAAGGGAGGTCACGAGGCAGTGTGCTCCTAGTAAAGACGTTGGGCCCCGAACGGAGGTAAATTGTAATGTCCCACATTGGTTGGGATGGAGAACAAAACACCTTTTATAAGGGTGTCTTCTCGCTATCGCCGTAGGAGGGTAGACACGAGACGGCGTGCTAGTAAGGACATTGGGCCCCAAGGAGGGTGGACTGTGATGTCTCACATTGGTTGGGGAGGAGAACAAAACATCATTTATAAGGGTGTCTTCTCGCTCTATCTATACCCAGGATTCGAAATTTGGATTCTACACCTAATGGTCCCAACATTCCCCGCGACATAATCATTTTATTTACTTCTCGCTTCTTAGAGTGAAAACTATCCCTACAAACCAACACGAGTCCTTTCACTCACATAATTTCTAAGAGGTTAAAAAACAATAATTAATTAAAACAATTTCCAAACTCGTTATATCATCCATTAATAATATATATCACTTAGAAGAAGGCATGTTTTATTTATTTAATAAAAAAAATATTTTAGAAAATAGCCTAAAAATGCCTTCTCTAGAAACCTTGGAAATGCCAATGTCTACGTACTATATAATCAAGGGAACAACATAATTAATTAATTAATTAATTAATTAATTAAAGGTTTTGTAGAGTTTTTGTCAAATTAGAAAAATCCCAAAAATAAAAAAATAAATAAAACAGAGAGCCAATATTCCCGGTGTTTTGATAGGCAGACACCTAGGCAGAATTTGTCACATTTATACATTTAAAACCTTATATTATATTTACTATTATATAGTTTTGTAGTTGAAAATCATGTCATCTAACTTTGAATATTAAATCCCTACCCAACTCTTATTATTTTATACATATTTTTTAAGAAGACCTTTATTTTTATTTTCAATAATTTTTTATATTAATTTCTTTTATTTAAAAATAATAAACCACAAGTTTTGTTGTAAATATTACATATTATTAGGTTATTTTAATAATTAAAATTATGTCTAAATCCAAAATAACTTTAAATGATTAATTTTTTAAAATTTGAGATTATATTTATTTATTTATTTATTTATTTATTTATTTATTTATTGGAAGGGAAGGAATCTGAGTTGTTTTTCTTGGTACCATGAAAAATATAGCATATGCCTTGTGTCCCCAAAGCTCTTCACATTGCTTGTCTTTGTGTCCGCTCCAAGTTATGCTTTAAATACCTTTTTTATATATATAATATAATTAATTAATCGCTAGATTTCAACCGTGGATTTCAATTCTCGATGTTTAACCGAATTTGAACTTTGATACTTGATAGTTCCGACGTTTTCATATTATTTAGTTGTGTTTAATTACTTTTACATTCGTCCTTGCTCGGTGTTTACTTGTCTTGAAATAGCTTCCATACACGTCATTTTATCATGTTTTGTCCTCACTCACATGTTTCTTTGAAAGATTCTCAAGAACTCGCTTAACATACGATTACTTTTTACTTACTTTTGAGCTCCTATGATTGAGTGTGAGATCTCATATCGGTTGGAGAAGAGAACGAAACATTTCTTATAAGGGTGTGAAAATCTCTCCATAATATATGCATTTTTAAATCATGAGGTTGATGACAATATGTAATGGATCAAAGCGGACAATATCTTCTAGTAGTGGGTTTGGGCTTTTACAAATGGTATCAAAGTCAGACACTGAGTGGTGTGTCAACGAAAACATTGAGCCCAAAATGGGGTAGATTGTAAGATCTCATGGCTGGAGAGGAGAACAAAGCATTTCTTATAAGAGTGTAGAAATCTCTCCCTAGTACACGCGTTTTAAAACTGTGAGGTTGACGACGACACGTAACGGGCCAAAGTGGATAATATCTACTAGCAATGGGGTTGAGCTATTACGAATGGTAACAAAGCCAGATACTAGGCGGTGTGCCAGCAAGAACACAGCCTAGTATTGTAAGATCCCACATGGATTGGATAGGAGAACAAAGATAAGGGTATGGAAACCTCCTAGTATTGTAAGAACACCGCCTAGTATTGTAAGAACACCGCCTAGCATATCCGACATTTCAGCAAGAACACGGGCGGCCAAGAGGGTGGATTGTAAGATCCCACATGGGTTGGATAGGAGAACGAAGATAAGGGTATGGAAACCTCTTCCTAGTACACACATTTTAAAACCGTGGGCCAAAGCAGACAATATAGCAGTAGACTTGGACTGTTACACTGAATAATAAAAAAAAACGCATACATTATTTCATCTGTATACTCCTCTTTTACTGAAATGTCGTATGCTTCCCGAGATATTTAATTATTCTAGATAATTGATTAGAGTTGACTAACTATAATTAACATAAGTATACATAAAGATTACACCCACATGGATTAACTTTCATTGGAACTTGAAGAAGAAAATGAACCACAAATTCAAAACCCATAAAAAATTTAGGCATCAAAACCAAAGTACATATAATGTTTGACAAATACAAAGGGATTTTCACATTTATATTCAAACTTAGATGTTATTATTTTGTTGGATTCATACCTATTTTTCTTCTTTTCGAATAATAAATATTTAAATTTAAAAAATACTTTTATTGTTCGTACCACGTTTAAAAAATATTCATAAACTTTCGAAAGAAAAATTAGTACCCATATATGTTTAAAAAAAAAAAATTAAAAAGCTTGCAAATGATTTATGAAGTGTATATAGACAGTTTTCGTTCATATATTGACGATAATAATTTATTTTTTAAAGTTTAGTGTATTTTTAAGGTTGGTATTTGTTGGATGATGAAAGTCCCACATCGGCTAATTTAGGGAATGATCATGGGTTTATAAGTGAGGAATACTAACTCCATTGGTATGAGGCCTTTTGGGAAGCCCAAAGCAAAACCATGAGAGCGAGCCTCGATTAAGGGGAGGCGTGCTTTGTTCGAGGGGAGGTGTTGGATGATGAAAGTCCCACATCGGCTAATTTAGGAAATGATCATGGGTTTATAAGTGAGGAATACTAACTCCATTGGTATGAGGCCTTTTGGGAAGCCCAAAGCAAAACCATCAGAGCATTGAGGCCTTTTGGGAAGCCCAAAGCAAAACCATCAGAGCTTATGCTCAAAGTGGACAATATCATACCATTGTGGGGAGTCGTGTTCGTCTAACAGTATTAACCGTATGGAAGTTTTAATTTTAAACGATAAAATGTCGTTGTCACTCAAATAAATAATATCGTAATTATGAAAATAATATTGTATAAAATAAATATTAAAATTTCATTAATAATATTTATTTAATTCCTTTTAGGTATATTTATTTATGAGTTGGTGAAACCTTGTATCATCTATTTATGGCATGAAAAAAAAAATTGATGGGCCCATTTTGGACTTAGGCCCATCAAATTTTATAAAGAGATCCTTCAGAAAATTTATTAAAAAAATATTTGTACGTTAACTCCCTAAAAAGTTTAAAATAATCTATGAGATGTCGATAGACTGTTTTTGTCAATGAATTTTTTTTTTTTTTTGAATTTTTTTCGAGAGGTAAAGAGTTTTAATTAATGAATTTTTTAAAAAAGTTTACGGGTATTTTTGAAACAAATTAACGGTTTTATCTAAAATTAATAATAAATATATTTTTTAGATTTTTTGAAAAACGACATTTTTTAAGACCAAGTATAAAGTTTAAGGATAATTGTATAATTATGTTTTTTCTGTCATTTTTGGATATTTGATGGGCCTGATATCAAAGGCCCAAACATCTCAAATTTAGGCCCAAAGTTTTGTCCATTTAAAAGGCCAGGTTCGAATCTTAGCTTCTTCATTTTTCTCTCTAAAATGTTTATATATAAAAGAATTAAAAAAAAAAAAGTATAATTTTTTTAGGCGTAATTACATATATGGATAAACGAACAAAGTTCATGAATGTATAGGAGAATATTATACCTCAAGAAGACTAAAATAATCGATTTAGAGTTCGATGACCGTTAATAGGGACGAACAATGGACCACCTTAGAGCCCTGGAGTTTTCTCGAGGAAGGTGATAAGTTCATGAACTCGACAAAGAATCTTACCGTCCAAGAAAAATCAAAATAATTCATTTGAAGTGTGATGTCAATGGTAAAAATAATCCAAAAATTACCTTGGGGTCCTAATATTTTATCCAAAAAAAAGTGATAAATTTCCGAATTTATAGGAGAATCTTATGTTACATCAAGACTAGAATAATCCTTGTGATGGCTAGTTGAAATTTTAGGGATAATCTAACGGACAAACACAATATACCATAAAAATCAAGGGCCAAATAAGAGCGTCAATAGGAGAGAGAAGGGAAACTTGAGTCGGGAAGCCCAAATTCCTCAATCGGCCTCATATGAGGAATACGCTCAAC